AATCCTTAAAAAACAAAGTGCAATCAAATCATTTACAGGGTATACACAGAGGCTTAAAATTACAAATACTTTTTCAAAGAAAAATGCTGCCAGAATGCAAGGTTAGATGTCATTAATACAGATGACATTGGTGACACCCAAGTGGTGTTCGGAATACACTTGTGCTGCTCTAGATTTGGACCACAAGCTTGTGCAGAGAAACACAGAAACATGAGGGCCTGAACTTTGACCTTATCATATAAAAGCCTCTTCCGTTCACTTAAAGTATTCTATTATTTCATTATTCAAAATAGTTGGAAGTTCTTTAAATCTCTCTCTCCTTCTCTCTCTCTCTCTCTCACACACACACACACACACACACCCCCCCACCCATTTAAAGGAGAAAAAGGAGAAGATACTAAACTAAAATGCTGCTTTCATGCCAGAATTTTGAATAACTTTACAGGTTGGACCTCTCTGGTTCGGCACTCCATCTCGTTTGGGACTGGTCAGGCCCTGAATTTGCCAGGCCCTAACCCTAACCCAAGCCCTGTGTCTCTCTCAGCTGCCAGCCCCAACCATCCGTTTCGCTGGGCTTCCGGGGCTGCCATGGCCGTGGCAGCCCCAGCTATGCTATCTCTTGCCACTGGGGCTCCCAGTCAGGACTCCCTGCTCCAGGAACATGTGTGGACCTGCCAGACCACAGATGTTGCCAGACCAGAGAGTCCTGGTTTTGGGAGGTCCGTATGACAACCTGTAACTCTGCGATTCTGGATTACAGTCATGTAACAATAGAATTTAGTTGACCACTTCTACCAATACTATTATTATGTAAACAAATACAGTGATTTGTGTTCCACTTCTTAATTGTTTATTCTGTTAACAAAGGTAAGCTGAATGATATCGTCTATTTTAAATTAATATATTTTTGTTCTAGAATCTAGAAAAACTACAGGCCACAATCTGATCTCATTGATACCATTGCAAATCTGGTTTAATTCCACTGACATTTTTTCAATTAGCATACGTTAGATCAGAATGTGTCCATATATTAGCAATTTCTCAATCAAAATTATACGATCAGTCATAACCATCATTGTTACTTCCAAGGCATCTAACTCTGAGCTGGAAGGAGGCACTTTCTTCCACTTAGGAGTCACAGCCACAGGCTAGCCCTTTCTTGCCAAAAAACAAGGACCACAACCTAACACGGATACCCGCCCTCCCACCCCCCACCCCAGCCTTTTACCCAATGGTCACCACAGATGTGAGAGACCAAAATGCAAATCCCTACTTTGCCTGATTCAGAGCTTTCACTCAATTATCCCATGTTCCAAGGGAGTGAGCTATACAGTGACACTCGCTCTCTGGCCCAATAATTATTCAAGCAAAATTGCTTCATCAGGAAACATTGAGAGAGACATGTCTCACAATATCCTTATATAGCTCATCAGTTACAGCACTCACCCAAGAGGCAGAAGACCTGAGTTCAATTCTCTGCTTCAAATTAGGAAGAGTGGGAATTTGAACATGGGTCTCATATTCTGACAAGTGCTACATCTACTGGACTACCAGATATAAAAGGGGCAGCACCACCTCTTTTTTGAGCAGGTTTGGAATGATCAGAGCTTGACTAGTGGATCAGGCTCTGCAGGCAAGAGAGGCAGGGAAACACAGAGTTTGAGACTTCTGTTTGGGTTTAGAAATGAGTTAGGCGCAGAACTGCTCAACAGTGTCAGGGCTTAAGAGGTTGGGCACATAGAAGAAATGTAGGTTCCTACAAGATTTGGCAACTGCTGAGCAATAGTTTTATGAATGCCAACACCACCTAAAGTGGCCATTAGGAATCTAAATCCCCTTTGTAAATCTAGCTCTATGTGTTAACATTGGCCCCAGTCTTATAATTCTCTGTGTGCAAATGTACCATTGTATCCATATGGAGCCTGGCTCATTCATTTGGGCTTCATGTTGGCAAAGCCGTGAGCCCATAAACAAAGAACTGCAGCATTGGGGGAACTGTCAATAATGAAGAGTTTAAAAAGCAAAAACTTGATATTTTAAAGCAGAAAAAGAGGTTATTCAAATAACACAGAAGGGTTAAAAATATGTAATCATAGGAAATATTGCCTGTGTTGCACATTTATATAATTTGTAAGATTACAAGATACATGGCCTCAAAAGTCATAGACTATCATTAAAATAAAGAGATCTTATCCTAACTGAAGCTGCAAATACCAAAAGCAAGTCAAGCATCAAACAAAAATGTCATCAGATAACTATGTCTCCTCAAACTATTCAAGCAAGTTAGAACTGCAAATAATTTTGCACTTCTTCTGAATAGATTTTATTGTTTTCATACTTCTTAATATGATTCCTTTGGAAACGGCACAATTACTACCAGTTTAACAATATTTTTTTCTGGATTGAACTCACTGATCCACTGTTAATATACAGCTCTTGGAGCTGCTTCAACTGTGACTCGCCACTTTCTACTAATTTCATATCTAGTTATAACAAACATTCTCCAAGAAAAATTCCTGACTGTGTACCAGAAAAACCTTATCAAATGCTACTTAATACCCAAAAGAAAACATTTAAAAGAGAGGCATATTTATATATACACCATATGCATGTAACTCTAACTGGAAAGTTACATATTAAAGACATTTTCCCTCTGGTCTTTTCAGTTGAGACATTAAGCTCTCTAGTCAACGTTGTTTTCTCTGACTGATAAGCATACAAGGTAAAAGCTATCATATGATGGATTCAGCTTCACTCAGATTCTGAATGAGAAAATGTTGTCAACTGGTCCATTTTAATAGGTTTAATAACCTCCTTCTGCACTAAGGGGACATTAATGTAAATTGATACATATTTCCATGCACACAGATTCTGTGCAATATAGAAAAGATGTCTTACCAGCAAACAGTAAGATTTTTTTTAGTATTTTAGAAATTAAATTTATTAACATTATGGACAAATTAATCATTTCAGGTAAATGTTTCAAAAGTGCTTGAGACCTAGAAGTCTAAATTCCATTTTCAAAAAGTGATTGAGGCATTGCACAGTTTGTTTCATTAAAAGAGAGACAGTCCTAAGTCACTTGAAAATTATACCCTCAATTTAAAAAGTGTCCTCCCATTACCATCATCAGATTCTTTTCTAGCATATAAACACAATTTAAAAAAAAAATTCTCTTTGTCTTTCTATTGAGGAAGGCGAGGTAAAGGTTATATCTAACAATCATTCCAAATCCTTTTACAATAGCAACTGCCTCCCAAAAGAGCCTACAATATGATAGTTATAAAACACTTTGAAAACGTACAGCACTACCAAACTGCTGATTATTATTCTTTCCTACCTCTCAAACAAAAATTGTGATGCAATTTTACTTAATATTTTATGGAACTTAACCTTACTCAAAGTGATCAGTTCTTATTAAATCTTGAAAACTTGGTCCAGTCTCTGTAACAATGCTGATATTGGAGAGGGGAGTAGCATAAGGTGGTGGTTAGATTTTTCCTTCTTTCAATGATCCAACCAGTGGACAAAATTCAGTGATGCATCTTTGTCTCATGTCAACTGAGGCACATTGCACATACACTAAAAACACACCAGCACAGGTGAAAATATGACTGACACTACTGGTGGCCAAACATTTCTAAATGGAAGAATGAATAGATTGCTTTTGAAATCTTGCAAAAAGCATCCTGAGCATTTAATGTTGATAATATAATATACAAGGCAGTGCTTCTACAAGGTTGCTTTGATATTTCTCAACAAATTTGGGGGGAAATTTCCATCTTAAGGAAATCTGAAATTTTCAAGTTTTCATTCACATTTGGAGCAAAAAATGAAATTTTGGTTCTGAAGACAAATTGAGAGTTATTTGAAGAAACATATGTGGGACATCAGAAGAGACCTGTGTTTTATTATTGACTCTGACTGTTTCACATTATGAACTTGAGTAAATCACTCAACTGGTTTGTGCTATAGTTTCCTGTTCTTCAAAATGGATTCAATATTTGCTCATATTTGTGAAGCACTCTGAGCCCCCATAACAAGAGTTTCAGTACAAGCAAAAAAAAAAATGTTTAGATTTTTAAAAGAATCCTTGAGGGCACAGCAACAAAAAATGGCTAACAAAAATAGTTTTGGTTACAAAATGTATTAGAAAACAATAAAGCATCCCACTGGAATGATCATTGCTAGCTATCCCTCATCATTCTATTTTTTCAAAACCTGTGCTATGGCTTAATTAATATTTCATGTCTGAATAAGTAACACACATTTTCTACAACGTGGCAACAAACATCGCTACATTCTCTAGTAAGGACACAAAATATTTCAAATACTGTGAAAAACAAATAAAATACTGCACTATTTTAAAAAAATAAAGAATGATAATACAGTTGTTGTCACCGTGGGTACTCTGGAACAATTAAATTAGACGTCAATTCCATCTTGTTAATGAGCCAAGCCTACCTTTCTCTTCTTAGTAGAATCATGTCTTAATCACATTTTCTACAATGTCATGGAGAACAGCTCTGTCCCATCACACTAGCAGTTAAATCATGTTCAACAATGTTCAAGAATACCCTTCGCTAACAATTCTCAACAGCAAGAAGCAATTTTTTGTGGTTTAAATAAGGCACTAGAATCCCATAGCCAGGGTTTTGGTGCTGTGCTTTAGAAAGCAAGCATTACAAAGGAAGTGGTGATTTGGGTAACCTTCAATTTCAATAAAGCCCTAATACAGGGAAATACTCTAGTGAAGGTCTAGCAAAGGTTTGTGATTGAGCAACTACCAAATAAATTAAGGTATACACATAAATAAGTACTTGGGGGGGAGGGGAGTTTATTTTGGCTAAATTACTATGAAGATAGAGAATGGTAACTGCTGACATTTATTGTATATCTTTATTTAAACTTTATAATTAAAGAACACAGACCTTAAATGACTTTAGTCATCAAGCTGAGCATTTAACTAGTCTATATAAACATGTGTTTATCACTGTTACCCTTATTCTTTCTCATCCAGTCATTTGTTTTTTCACATCGTCTTGTATCTTCTTTTATAGCAGATTGCAAGCTCTTTGGGACAAGAACTGTGTCTTCCGGTATGTCTATAGAGAGCCAGTACAATAGAGCCCCAAGCTTGATTACGGTTCCATGCTGCTACTATAATACAAATAATTTTATGTCAGGTTAATATTGGCATTCTTTGTTAACATTACTTACTCTATTTATTGTATCTATTCTTTGTTTGGGTTCTGAATCCTAGCATACATAAAGCTCCTCTGTTTTGTTCCTCTTTTGGAGGGTTGTTTGTAAACAAAGGATATAGACAAGGAACAAATAGTTTACCCTTCTGTGGCCAACTCTTGAGATAAATTACCTTAAAAGCAAAAATCCACTCTGCTCTCAAAACTAATGAACTGACTGGCCATAGTTGCATCAAGAGAAAATTTTTCAAACCCCACAGATACAGATAGTGTGCGGTACCTGCAGAAGACTGGCATGATAAATACTATTTGGCACAAAAGAGAAATAACTCCAATAATTAAACGAGAAGTTCTGTGGCACCTTTATAGACTAACAGATTTATTAGAGCATAAGCTTTCGTGGGCAAAGACCCACTTCATCAGATTCTGATGAACACAGCTCCTCTGATATCTGTCTCCAATAACTAAGTGCCCCTATGGCATTTCAGCAGCACCCACACATTTTCAATATTAACATGATATAAGGAGCCTCCAAAACGTACATAAATTAGTTGTAATTCAAGTGATATTGACAAAGTAGTAGAGCTTCATGCTTGTGGCTTGTGTCCTCACCAACACCCATTAATGTGGAATTACAATCTCTTGAGGGGGAAGGTACATTATTATTCTAACAGTCCCAAAATATAGTTACGTGATTCACTGCAACATTTCTTCTTCCCAAGTCAACACTCATTCAGTTCTAGAAGGAATTCTGTTCATTTCTATGATTTTTTTTAATCCTCACAACACAGTGGGGGAGGAGACAAGACTATAATATTAACTATGACATTTGAAATGATAAATCAAATATGCTTTGCTATTTATAAAACCAAAAAAATCTGTCATTCTTATCAGGAATATCATTAGATTCCTGTTCCTTACTTATTTACCCTCCATTCCAAAATACACAACTACATTTGCAGTGATCTTGACAAGTTACCATAATCTTAATATTTCCAAGGAATGTATTCGAAAATATGGTACAGTTTGAAGGTTTTTACATGCCTTTGATTGAAACTATAACTAGCAATGCAAAACTGTATCTTTTCATTGCCAAAATAAGAGGGACATTGGAACACATTAATTCCGACAAAGTATAAATAAACTTCTTATGGCACAATAAATGGACGTTTGTAAAAGAAGAAAAAATGAAATTGCCTAGAATACAGTATCTGCCACATAAATGATACATATTCTTTTATTGAAGCTGAAGAGGAAAAAAAAGCAGCATTCACATAAATCATTTTTAAATGCCTGACCACTACCTTAAAAAGAAACAAGAATTTTAAACACACACTGT